TTTAGCACGTAAATGCTTTCGTTTTTAAAACCGTCCGACCTCGACTACAAAACCATCAACCAGTTGCATAGGATTAAAAAATGTCAACACTCACTCACCCCGTCTTAAACATTCCCAAAGAAGTGCCTCTGTCTCTCGTTGTGCTGGATGAAGTCACTGGCGACGAGTAAACCCAAAATAGTCCCAAACAGGCGCAGAGGCATTTTTCTTTTTTACTAGTTGTCCGAGTTCGGGGCCGGCAAATGCTGCCGCCATCTTGCTCAGCTCAGCTCTGTGCTGAGCTCTGAGAGCGGGAAAGACGGACTGCCCTCCCCTGCCCTCTGCTGGCGCGTGCTGTGCATTACAACCAATGTCGTCCCTGTCAAAACTCCGTTTCAGTGTAATAGAATGAAACGCATCTGTGATTTGGCGCACAGTCTGTGACGTCACGGTATTGAAAATCATACCGACGGTATTTCGAAATAACCTGGTATACCGTAATACCGTCATACCGCCCAAGCCTAGTTCATTCTAATTGATTAATTAAACGTTGAGTCACTGTGTTTTGCTGTGTTTGCAGTGGGAAGCCGTGTCCTCCTTTCAAGATCATCATCCTGGACGAGGCGGACTCCATGACGGGGCCGGCCCAGGCGGCTCTGAGGCGCACCATGGAGAAGGAGTCCCGCACCACCCGCTTCTGCCTCATCTGCAACTACATCAGCAGGTCATCTGTCCATCCCTGAGCGCACACACACTCCCTCTCTCTGTGACTGATCCTGACCCTGCTCCGGTCTGTGTGTTTTATAGGATCATCGAGCCCCTTACCTCCAGATGTTCCAAGTTTCGCTTCAAACCTCTGTCCAATCAGATCCAAGAAGAGCGGCTGCTGGATATCTGTGAGAAGGAGAGCCTTAAATACAGCAAAGAGGTAAAGGATAACAGCTGACTCAGTACTCAACTATTGCTTTGATTTAAAAATAAAATAAAAATGAAATTGCCTAAAAAAGAGGGTGAACAATAATAGAGGGGTTGTTTACCTATACTTGTTTGCAAAGACAGAACTTTAAAACTTAAAGATCGTATATTTTAGCTTTGAACGGTGGGTTTTGTCCTTCATCTGTTAAATTAGAAGTATGGCAGGATTGTAATGTCCAGTATTAGGGGTGTAACGGTTCACAGAATTCACGGTTCGGTACGTACCTCGGTTTGGGGTTCACGGTTCGGTACGGGTTCGGTACAACAAGAAAAAGCAACATAAAAAGTCCCAAATGCATAATTCCAGGTTTGTTGTTATTTATTTTTGAACAGTAGTGCAAGTTTCAGTATAAAAATAAGGAACTCTAACATTTTGAATAATTCACTTTATTACACAGTGAAAACAAACCACAAACAGTAACACACACACACTCAGGTGGCCGTATTATCTATAATGGCTGATGTCAAACAAAAAGGTTTCATCAAGCTGTAAAACAAAAAAGAATGTCTTGAAAATATTACAAAATAAATAATAAGAAAAGTGTTTCAAGGGCGCATAGAAATTGAAATATATATGCCAAAAGCTTCCGTTATTTATTTTGGTCTCTCGGCTTTCACGCCTATTGGCTTCTTAAAAACAGCGGGGTTAAGCTGTGGGCTCCAGTGATTGGCAAATCTGGGTGATGCCTTCTGATATGATTTAGCATGTTTGGCGTGTGTTACCATTAGCATACCGCACCGCTGTCTAACCACGCCGACACACCTTCCTCGTCCGATCCACCACTCGTTGTTTTAGTCCACAGGGAACCCGAAATGTTCCCACACAGCTGATTTAAAAGAAGCAGGTGGGTTCTAGCTCCTGTGTGTTATCTAAAATCGACATACTAACTTTTCTTCTTCTTGTATTTAGTTTTCTTCTTGTTCTTCATTTGTTGTTTAAGGGCGGCTGGCAAACAGCTTTTAGGCGCAATACCGCCCCTGGATTATATATAGTGCAGTGGATACTGCCTTAAGTGACAGACTTTTTTCCCACTCATAAAAAAAAAGGCGTATTTGTCGTGTGACTGCATGGACCGAGCCGTGAACGAATACGGATACCGTTACACCCCTAGCCAGTATACATGTTACGCCCCTGATAAACGGGCTGAAATAGGCCATCTAGTACATTGCAAATCATCACTGTTGGGGTATATTTAGCTTTACTTAGATGTTTAACCTTTTAACCATGACCATCACGTTTTCCTTACCTACTTCTATAATTTTAGTCAATTGTTGCATGGATATTGTAAAATATAATACTTTTCCTCACAACTAGTTGTTAAACATTGTTTAGTCTTACAGTCTTATACACCTATAAACAGATTTCTGTTAACGTCATGCTGTAAATTGATTCAACATCGATTTATGATTTGACGGGTTCACCATAGTCTTGATCTGCCAGTAAACATAATAAATGTATTCAGAGATGCAGATTTCTCTACAGAATGCCCCGTAACTTCCTGAATACCGGTTCTATTGTCTGATCTATTCAGCTCTTATGCCAAAACATGTTTTTTTAATAGCTACAACATCCTCTGGGACATGCGGGCTCTGACTGATGACTATGCAACATCAAGTACAAATGATTTAGAATTTCATATTTTTTTAGTTTCTCCAAAATTGTTTTAAAATTATTTATTGACAAAAGCTGTCTGCTTTCTGTTGTAATTATTTAAATCAATGCATCAATAATATAAACAATGCCGTTTTCGTTTAAAAAATGGTTTATACAAAAATACAATAGACCATCCATCTAATGTTATCCTATTACAGTATTGTATTGCAGAATGTTGCTATCATATACAGCAATATAGTTTTATTATAATACTTGAATTCATTATTGAAAGATAAATGATAGAAGTTATGGTTATTCATTATTTTTAAGCTACCCAAAGGATAAATTGACTTTGAGAAAATCAATAAATTAATCAAAACAAACTGAGATTATTAGAATCATCGAAAAAATATTTGATGGATTAATCCATAACAAATAATTGTAAATTGCAGCCTTAATGTGTTTTAAAGTGTATCCTTTTCTACAACTTACCTTTTTCTCCAACCGCTGAACATATGTCTGTTGGAACTGATACATTTCTATTTGAAGCAATGCTGCTCCACAGCACCTCCTGCATATCACTGTGGGCCTCAGGAAGTGATCTACAGCTGGTGTAACCAACATCTCACGCTTTCTGTTCTCCAGAGTATAGCAGCGTTAGTGACGGTGTCTGAGGGGGATCTGCGGAAAGCCATCACCTTCCTGCAGAGTGCGGCACGCCTCAACATGGACAGGGAGATCACAGAGAGCGCCATCATTGAAATAGCTGGGGTGAGCCTCAAAGAACTGAGGATTTACCGTAATTTTCGGACTATAAGCCGCGCCTTTTTTCCCATTTTTCGACGCTGCGGCTTATATAACGGTGCGGCTAATCTATGGATTTTTACAGCTAACGGCCACCACCTTTAACGCTACGGGCTCTA